ATTTATTTTAATAATTAAAAAATAAAAGATCTCTCTCTCTCTCTCTCTCTCTCTCTCTCTCTCGACCCACCTTCATCTCCATAACTTGCAACGAAAAATACACAGTAAATCCACACACACATCGTCCACATGATTACTAAAAGCACTCACCCTCAAAATAAAATTAACTAATTTCAAATCAAAAAATGCATATGGGTTCAACTTTCTTCTTGCTGTTGGGGATACACAAAGAAAAAGTCGCTCTTGTTCAAGTTTCTTATCACAGACAAATGAGAAACACAAGAAACACAAATCAAATCCAGAAAACATTGAAACTCCATTGGAGCAATACTGTAAATCAAAAACGCAAAATGAAAGTGAAGAAGAGTCAATGAGGCATTTGGTCGAACAGGTGGTGTGTGTGTGTGTTCACCATCGATGAAGCATGGTATACTGGTGATGAGTTCCATCAATTAGACAAGCATGCTCATAAAATCAAGATTTCAATATGCAAAAAAACCTCATCTTCAAACTATTTTATCACGAAAAATTTCGTTTTCAGGGGTTCTATTTTATCACAAAAAATCTCGTTCGAGTTTGATTTGAAGGATTGGAGGATTTCTTATTTGAAAAGGTCTCCGTCTTCGTCTGTTCGGAGAAGCTGAAATCACGAATGGAAGGCTGCGATCAGGAAGCTCCGATGGTGGAGTGTGGTTCTGCAGTAGTTAAGCAGTCACAAGGGGGGAAAGGCGGAGGCAACTATTTTACCGGTTCTTCTTCCTCTCGTTTCATCGAAGCCAAAACCGAGGACCACTGCAAACGAGGGGATGTTTTGAGTTGTTGATCGACAGGGAAGAATGAGGGAGGAAAGAGAGAAACTGAAATAGGGGCGGCAACCTTGGTTCACCGGATTCTTTCCTCGCCGAAGATGTATAACGAGAGAGAGAAGAGAGGTACAGTGTAGAGGAAGAAAGATTAGCTGGTGGGTACGTTTGGGGTTGTGCTCGACGGTAAAATAGTGGAGAAGAGGTGGAGGGCAGCCGGTGGGTAAAATCTAAAGGGCAGCAACGCTTTATTTTCTTCGTTTGCCCATCCGGTGAAATAGGGGACGAGAGAGAGAGAGAGAGAGAGAGAGAGAGAGAGAGAGAGAGAGAGAGAGAGAGAGAGAGAGAGAGAGAGAGAGAGAGCTTTTTTATTTTTTAATTATAAAAATAAATAAATACGTATTGATTTTTTTTAAAAAAAAGAATATATTTTTTCAGTGCAAAAATGGTCCCTTAGAAGTGAAAAGACAAATATACCCTAATGTGAGAGGCACATGAGGGGGTTAACAGCAACAAGTTAACGAAAGTTAAGTTCGGTGACCAATTCCACATACAAACCACTCCAAAAGGACCATGAATCCAAAAAACTCGGGGTTTGGACTAAAACCTCAAAAATTTGCATACCACAGGGACCATTTTTGCAATTTTGTCATTTTAATATAAACCAATAAATCGTAACACCAATTTTCACTTATAAAAGTTAATAAATATAAATCTCTGTTTATAAAATTGAAAGTAAAAATATATTGTTTTTTGGATAAAATGATCAACATGAAAGTTGTAGTAGTCGTCAAGACGAACACGTGGATATAAAAAACGTTGTAATACAAAATAAAATCTGGGCCAAAAGTATAGATTTTGAAAGTGGATGACATGTTGACGGTATAAAAATAGTCAAAGTGAATAAAATTATTGATATTTGAGACTTAATCATAACAAAAGATATAAACATTTAATTGAATATGTAGTCAAAATATAGACTGTTTGTAATAGATTTCTCTAATAAATAATATTATATAAGAAAACTCTAACCATTGGAGATGACTTAAAATCCCGATACTAACAACTATACATCAAATTATTCATATTTATATAATTTTTGAGTTATAGCTTTAATAAAAATGCGATCTATTTATGCAATTTAAATTACAAGTGAAATCAAACATCACTTGCTTTTTCGTACGAAAAGAACCAACTATTATTTTGGCATGCTAAAAATGAAAAGTATTTATTTTTTGACGGATGAAACAATCCTACGCTGGCTTCGGAGCCTCCGTTGAAATATGTCACGTTTTCTAGTACTTCCTCATCATTCCAACACGCCCTACAGTTCATGATTGCTGACCAATTTTAAATTTTCCACACTGCCACGTGTGCGGATCTCAGTTTCTCGTGTCCTTCACGCGCTTGACCAAAACTACACAACCACCATTTTGACATTTTAAACTCCTTGTCCCCAAAGCTAACCTAAAAAAACCCTCCCCATACCCAGCCCAAACAGACGTGTGAAATGTCTAAAATGACCCCACCGCCCACAATCCACATGCAAACATATTCCCAGCTAATATGCTTAGATTCGTCTGTTTTTTCTTGTATATAAACCCCGGAAATAAAGATCAATATACAAATACTACATCGGCCAATATTCTAACCAATGGCAGCAATTCGATTGACACGCATGTCAACCACACCATCGGCTCTCGTAGCATCTTCCATACAAACTGTATTGAGGACTGATACTGTGAGGTTAAGGTTTCCGTGTGTGGCGGCTGGTTTTGGCTCAGAAAATGGTCAATTGACCGGAGATATAGAGAGGAAACCGGTACTAGTAACTAAAGCAGCCACATCTATGGTGGCTGCTTTTGGTGGTGCAGTAACATTTGTTACTGCACCAACACAAATAAGCAGAAGAGTAGACTTGGCTACTCTACTGCTTATTATGAAAACTGTGGTTCGACGTAAGTTAAAGGTGGCTACGAGACCTAGGCCGTGGAGTTTAATCATCCAGTCGCTAATTGAAAAGGTAATATTCATCCTCTCATGCAACTTTGCATGAATTATTCAAGATGATTTCTTTATTTAATTAGTCATTACATTTTTAAAAATTTTCACTTCATTTAAAAATATTTTAATAGAGGGAACCATCATTGCTAATAAAACATTTTGCAAGAAATTATAATCCCCTTAGATTTATTAATTTATGATGATGTGAAATTTGCAGGTCATAATGGACTCTCGATTCTTTACGATGTTTGCCGTAGCAGGAACCTTGCTTGGTTCGGTATTATGCTTCCTAGAGGTATCATAAACTGTGTTTAATTAATTAATAAGCATTTAGCAACACTTTTTGGCCATTGTTGACATTTTATCTTAATCTAAATATCTAATATCATATGTTTGAATGAACTTTAGGGTGTTTTTCTGGTTATGGAATCATACCTTCGGTACTTTCAAGCCATCTCCCACCATTCAGATCATGGACATATCATGCACTTACTCATCGAAGCCTTAGGTACATTTATAACTCCTATTATTCATGAGAATATTAAGTACATTGTGTTGAAAAGACAATAATTTTATGAATATGTTTGTTATCTATGAACAGATATGTTCTTAGTAGGAACAGCCATGCTTACATTTGGGATGGGATTGCATGTTATGTTTGTCGGATCCCAAGCTTCAAGAGGCTACGGATCAACACTTCCATCATCAAATTTCTTTGGGCTTTTCCAACTCAAGGTATATATATATATATATATATATATATATTATATATATATATATATATATATATATATATTCAACTAAACAACATTTAATAACCACAGCCAAAATATTATTAGACTATGTATGTTACATGAGATATATGTCTGGATTAGATTGATGAGACTGGACAAACTTTCTAGGGTTATTTTCAATAGAGAAAAATGATTCCATGTCTAAGATTTTTAGATGGGACAAAAAATTACAATTTTTTTTCTTTTTAGTTGACACCAATCTCCAATGGACATCAAACACAATACAACATTGTCATCTCCTAAATAACAAATCGAGCATTAACGTTTTGTTTAAACAATTAGAACATGCTCAATCAGCATAATTTCAATGTTATGAGCATGAAAGTGGTTATAATTTGACAATATTAATTACAGGAGTTTCCATCATGGGCTGGAATGAAGTCCATCTCTCAAGCAAAGTCAAAAATCGGGCATGCTCTAATGTTGTTGCTTCAAGTTGGAGTCTTGGAGAAGTTCAAGAGTATACCTTTAGTTACAGGGTTGGATTTGGCTTGTTTTGCTGCATCAGTATTTGTCTCTTCTGCTGGTTTATTCGTTCTTTCACGACTTTCTGTTGATACTAAAATTACCTAAGTTATTTAGGTATCCAATTATTCTTTTGTCTTCTTATAGGTATAGGTGGTAGGCTTTAATTTATCAAGGATGTATATGTTGTTCGTGTTAGAACAAATAATTCTTTTATTTGTATATGTATATAATGACAAATAATAGTCGATATATTGTTATATATGAACTAAAGCTTTATTATTTAACTTTTTGGCAATATTGATTTGGAAAAAAAAAATAATAATAATACACAACTCTCGTCAGAATTAAAGTTCTACAAAATAATAGTAGAATATATAAATTTAATCTATTTAAGTGGGTCCATCGGAAATTAAACACAAATTAAAATTTGATCAGTTTTTATATTATAAGTTGTTGACATCCTAAAGCTTCATTTTGCTAATCCCAATGAAGTCATGTAACTCAAACAATGTCCCCACCAAATTGAACCCCTTCAACCTGTAAATTATAAGAAAACTAGTAAATTAAAACTTTTGGATTGTAATCATTGCTTCTATGGTACATAATCTAATCTAATCTAATCTATGGTGTTTTTTTTTACATAGTGGACTTAGGGGCTGTTTCTTTTTTAGGTTAAAGTGTTAAAGCACTTCATCTGATGGTTGTTTCCTTATGGCTTATTATGGAAAAAAAATTAAGTTATTTGGTTAAGCAAAACAAAACTAGCTTAATGTATTAAGAGTTAAGAGACTATCGGTTTACGTATTTTCCCTTTTTTTCCTCCCAACACAACTCATCTCATGTTAAAACCGATGAATATTGTTAAAATTGATAAATATAAAGAAAATTGTTTGTTGGAATGTATGGGCAAAATTGTCATTAGTCTCCTATTCGGTCTTGAACAAATAATAATAATAATAATAATAATAATAACAACTTATCTTTACAAACACTTTATCAAGACAGACATTTTCACTCATTCAAGCACTTTATCCCCAAAGTAAGACATATATAATTGTTTCCTTTTTGACTTATTACAATGACTTAATAAAGAAAGTCACCAAAATGCGACTTTCCTATTATATCCTAAACTTTTTACAAATGTTTCCACATTTATTTTTCCCGATCATTTTCTCTAAACATCAACAATTAAATGGATTAATTAACTGAAAATAACTCTAGATGGAGTTCAAAACGTCTCTTATTTCAGCTACAGATGGAATGTTTTCACTTGGGTAGATCTTGGAGGCAAGTTGAGCAAATGTTTCATATTTTTCCATATATTCTTTCTGTCAATAATCATATCAAACTTTATTTGCTTAGCATCATTATATATATATTTTCATCATTAAGCATCATATCTTCTATAAGAATAAAAATTAGTTTTATCAAGGAACATCAAAGAAAAGATGAAATCCGATAGATTTTACGAACAAAAGCAAGAAATAGCAATGTACTTTTATTCATTTGTTATTGTTTATTAGAGCATCCTTCATTTTTTTTTTCATTTTTTTTCTAATACAACATTGTATTTTCATTCTTTTTCATATTAAAGCATTGTACTTTGAAAAATCTACTCAATATTATGACACTGTACTTTTAACTATTTTTCTTATTAGGGTATTCTACTTTGAATAAAAAAAAGTAAAAAACTACACAATTACAATGAAAATTTACTTTCGATTTAGATGACGCTGCTATTATTAGGTAGATTTTTCAAAGGATGAAATAAAAGTAGGATGCTATAATAAAAAATAAAAAAAAAAAGTATATGAAAATACATTAAACCCAATAAAATTAAATACCTTGCATTTGTCCCATAGTGTAGGTATCAATTCATCACAAGTCAAGTTCTTGACTAGTTTCTTATGCATTGCAGCAATGTGCTTATCCACCTGTTTATCAAAAATAATCTTATCAAAAATAAAATTACATTTGAAAAAAAAAATAATAATAAATTGGAGCCAATTTCTTGTTGACCTGTATAAATTTTATAACTTACCCCTGATAAATTGGATTTTACCACCTTTCTAAGGTCGGTTTTTGTCAATCCAACTTGGAATGGGATCTGTAATTATTAAAGAAAATTAGCATCTCTTTTAGGGTTTTGTTTTCCAATTTGATTTTTCATCAATTACAAAGTATCATGGGGATCAAATGCATTATCAAAATAGAAATGAAAACAATATTTTAGGAAAATGAAAAAAAAAAAAACACTCACCTCTTCTGGAGCATTAGTTACCATCAAATCCTCAATTCTTCTAGCAAACTGGAAAAGACGCTCAAATTGCTGTGCAAATATTCATAAATTGTCACTTATAAAACACAAAAGAGAAAAAAAGCAGAAATAGCAACATAATGTACTTTATTTTATTTTTTTCTATCCATAAATCATAATAGTAATAATATACTTACATTTTTTTACCCATAATAGCAACATACTTACTTTTTTTTACTCATAATGGCAACGTATTTATTTTATTTTATTTTTACCAATAATAGCAATATGTAATGTTAAACTTGTATATTGTATTTTATCAATCACACATAACAATAATTTACTTACATTTTTATACCCATAATAGTGACACGTTTTAAATATATTTACCAATAACACCATTATCTAATCCAAAACTCGTATGTTATTTTACACGTTTCATGTTACATATTTTTATTATCTATAAAACAACAAAGTACATTAAAGTACGTTGCTAATTTTTTAAAATTTCCCAACATGATAAGACAAGAAAAATGATTTGTTAACTTACATAGTAATTACAACACTGATATGATGTGCACAAGCTTGTTCATATGATTCACTTGCTTGATGATAAAATTTAGCTAAAGTTGGCACACAATTCGCCAAGTCATACAGACTGCATACAACTGCTTCTCATCAGCATCGATTGGTAAAAAAAAGATTCTATATTTGTAATTAACTGAAAATATATATATATTATAATTTAATCATTTTTAGGTTAACATTTAAAATTATAATATACCTATTCTGGAATGCAGCATAGTTCTCTAACAGAAAAATGTCCAAGTGTTTTAGGTCTGATCGGGAAATCTTGTCCAGAGTCACAAACATTATACCAATCTGTTCAATAATATGAACCATCAATTGAGCTTCACATTATTAAATTAAAATATAATTTTTTTTTTTAAGGTACTAACAATTTTCATGTATGCCTGATCTACCAATTCCCTAGACTGCCCCTGGATATACTGCTCCATGCGGGTGGCAAGCAGAGCAAATCTACACAAAATCAATACACAAAATCCAATTGGAAATATTTCATAAAAAAAAATTTGTAATATTTACAGAAAGGGTTTATGTCATAATTTAGCAATCAATTATTCCATAGGTTGACATTTAGTCATTATATTCATTTCAACTAATATTGTTCAAAAATACGCTATAGAAGGTTTTACTAGTTTTGGATGCTGATTTGGCATACTTTGTCCACGTGGCAATTTAGTCATTTTAGAGATTTTTTGATGTCCGGAAGGATAAAGAACAGCATTTAGTATGTTTTTATTTACTCATTTTATTTTTTATTTTTGGTATTTGTAATATATTTGAATAAATTTAACAAATGAGAAGATACAAAATAGTTAGTTACCCTCCCAGACATTAAAAATAACTAAAAATGACAAAAACTGCCACATGGACGCCTAATCAACATTAAATTGACTAAATTGATTAAATGAGCACATACGAAATATTTGTTTTGCTAAATTACGACATTAACCCTTACAAAATATGATTATATTTATCTGAGTAATTTACCTTGGTACAAATGCCATGACACCTGTCTGTTTAACATTTCGGTCATACTTTTCTATCTGGTGTCGAGCTTCATCTATAAACTACAATATATATATATATATATATATATATATATATATATATATATATATATATATATATATAATATATTACAACTTGGTTGATGATCATAAAAAATTCTTAATTTCTTTTTAAACTTCAAACATCTTAACATAATATGTGTAACTTACACGAATAAATAGTGTATCCATTCGATCTTCCATGGCGTCAAGTAAGAGGCGTACATATCCAGCTACCTCAGATTTCTGATCATTTATATATTGCTCTGTTATTCCATGCATTGATATGCACAACAAAGGATCAATCTTGTGTGCCCAATCCACAATTGCATAGAAGTCCTCCTGAAAGTCCATAGATATATTTAAAAAAAAAAAAAAAAAAAAAAAAAAAAAAAAAAAAAAAAATTAGGGGTTGTTTCTTTTTGACTTAATAATGGGATTAATGGGTTAACCACTCCAAATGACTTAATAGGTTAAGCCAAAAAAAAAAAAAACTTGGTTTAGGCTATGTTTGATAGACTACTGAAAAGCTAACCGTTAGCTGAAAAACTAGCCAATAACTGAAAAATTAGCTGACAAAAAATGAGGTTCGGTAAAAACTAACGGATAAGCAAGCTGAAAGATATAAAATAACATAAAAATACATTTAGAATAATATGTTTTTTATAATTAATTAATGGTATATTTAGGAAATTTTCAAAAAGCTACTCAAAGTAGCTTTTTAAAAGCTAGCTTATCAGCTATTTTTTCACTTGCCAAACATAACAATTAAAAAAAACTCAAAAAATAAGCTAGTTGTGTGGTGTCAAACACAGCCTTAATGTGTTATTTGTTTCTCTTTTTTCCTCCAATTCCTCTCTAGTCAAAATAAATGAGTATTGTGAAATTTGTTTTTTGGAATGTAGGGGTAAAATGGTCATTTTATCTCATTTAGATTTTAGACTGTTTATGCAGGGTAGAAAAGAAACAGGCCTTATGTATACAACACTTATTCAACCACTTTACTCATGCAAGCCTTAATAGAAAAAAAAAAAAAAAAACGTCCCCTTAGATTTATTAAAGTAAAAGAGTGAATCTTGTCTATATTCTGTAATTACTTGTATTCCATCAAGTAAATCACGAAGTGACTCATTTAATGTCCCCATCTCCAATGGTATACCTACATGATTCCAGATACAAATATTAAACTGGTATATATTTACATTACATGATAAAAAGATTAAAAGAACTGAATGTTATGTAACATATATTTACCCTTTTCATCATTTTCCATGTCTAAATCATCATCATCATCATCACTGCCATTATCATCAGGTGAAGAAACTTCAAAGCGCAAGAAGCGTGACAAAAATACACTCTGCAGTTTAAGTAGAATAAAAAGTAAATTCATAGACAAAAGAATAAAAAGTTGGACTTTTTTATATTAAAAAAAAAAATGATATCAAATAGACTATGTTTCACACCTCATCAACAAGGAGTGGGACAAATACATCAAGCATTTTGGTATATGCTTCAGAAATATTTGAAGTGTCTACATTTTGGTTGGGAGTGGGACCCTCAAACCATACAGTTTGAATCTTTGGTGCTTTAGTTCCAGCCCTAAGCTCATTAGAAAATTCACGAGCCTGAAATTTAAAATAATAATAATAATAATAAATTGAAAATAACTAAAATTGTCTTATAAAGCTGTGAAAAATGAAAGAAGGAAATTAATTTGGACACATGCCTCATGGCGTAAAAGCTTATTAAGGGAGCCACAATAAGCTTTCCTCAAAGGAGCCATACTATTTTTATCAAGAACCTGCAATCATATAAAATATATGTGAGAGTAAGTTGCAAAAATGGTCCCTGTGCTTTCTGATTTTTACCATTTATTGTCCAAAATCGATGTCTTTTCAGTTTTGGTTCTTTTTTTAAGGTTTCATATTGATTTTGGTCGCTAGAACCTTGAAATACAGACCAAAATCGGAAAAATGTTTGGGTTTCGGACTAAACATGTTAAAAAATGGAAAGCACGGGGACCATTTTTGTAATTTACTCTATAGATCAATGGGTATCATTGAAGTTTCAATGTAATAAACCTTTAGGTGATGCAAAAGACGAGCATATTTCTTGCATTTATTTCGGAAATTGGTATGATCAGGTTTCTTTAGTTGACCACGCTGACAAAAGTCAAACACCAGTCAAAATCTCATGTTGATAAATTTTTTTAATACCTTAAAAGTGGCATATATTATAAAAAATAAAAAAATCACTCCAAGAAATAAACCTGAGAGAAGAAGCTTTTATCATTCATCATGGAATCCACTGAATTGGCAAAATAGTCTCTCAAATACTGACAGGCTTTTCTTGCAAAAGTAAATTTTATTATGTCAAGTTCTGCCCTCTTTTCTCTCACCTGTAATTTTATAATTAAGACTACATCTTTTTAAACATTCATGTATGTAAATTGTAATATTTCCATCGACTTTCTATTCTTATATTAACTGATGTATATAATCATTTAGAGTAACGAGTCTTTGTGTTTTTAATCGAAAAAGATTTTATTAAGAAATTATTATTAACCAAAAAACAAATGTAGAAAGCGTTAAAAAAAAAGTTAATGAACATACAGCTCTAATTTTGGAAAAGCTTGGATCCATAGCAGGTGGTTCAAAACCACGAAGAGCATCTCTTAATTGATCACATGCTTCAATATGTTTATCTAAGGATGCATCATCAAATGAGGCGCCAGCTAAGCAATCTGAAAGCTGAAATGGATAAAGAATAATTTAAGTGAAGATGAAAATATGAAATAAATTATATTATTGGTTAAAAGTAATGTACCTCTAAAGGGATATGAAGTCTCTCAAGAAGGTTATCTAGTTCCTCACTTAAAGCTTTATAATTCATAGACTGCATTTCCAGCTTGTTGTTTCTTGATTCTATCTGTTACCACAAGTTGAAATATTATATATTATGATATTATCTAAACATTTGGTTCTTGTTTTGCTTAGTTCTAAAGGTTTTACTTCATCTATCTAATGTTTGAGCTTCTTTGTTGTTTTATGTGCTGAAATTAGGCTAACATAAAAGAAAAGGATTTGGTTTCAAAGTGTGGGTGTAATTTGGGGGATTGTCTTGAGAGATTAGCCTATGTGATTGTAATAATTTATCATATAGTAAAAATTTTCATTGGTTGTTCTACGGTTTTCGAGTTTTACATGTATATTTTGGTGTTCATTTTTCTCTGTTATTTTTCATTGCACAGGTTGTTAGGAATCTTTAAGGCCATTTTCCCAACAATATGTATATATATATATATATATATATATATATATATATATATATATATATATATAATGTCTGAATATCCATACGGCTTCTATATCCTCTCGCATATGTCTGAGTTTCACGTTAAACAATGCCAGCCATTCATCCATATCTTCAACACGAGTTGTAGCTGACTCAAGCCCCTTCAACACCTGCATTATAACCATAAAGTTTGTATAATGGAATTCATGTTATGTAGAATCTCATTTGTGGTACTTAAATGATGATGAGTTTAATTGTTTTAGAGCGTATAAAATGGTTTAGATGATTTAGACTAAGAAAAGGATAATGGAATCCATAAAGTGAATTGAACATTCATATTGCCATTTAGTGTGAGCGGTTTACCTCATCTACCAAATGCTGGCTTTCCAAAATTGCATGCACGTTTGCTGCTTCAAGAGCATGAAGTTCCCGTTTTAACCTTTCGGAAAAGACTTCTGCTTCCCCAATACCCACCACATATCTGGGCACAATGTCATCACCAAAAATCATTAAAAGAATAAAGGCAGATAAGATAATCCTATAATCAGATGCTTAGTTTTTGAAATTCAAAATGAGGTGGTAAGATGGTTGATGTAAGTGTAACCTACAAGAATATAGCTTATGTTATTTGATACAAAAGTAAAATTTTAGAAGAAAAAAAGAAGAATTATACGTACGTGCCTAGAAGAGCTTCAATATCCTCCTCTTCTGCTTGCGACACAAGATCATTTTCAACTGAAACTCCCGTCTCATCTTCAGAATTCATGTCTCCACCACTTCCATCTTCAAAACCATGTTGCTTAGGAACCTCCGATGCATGTTCCTATATAAGTAAAAGCATAATTTGCAAAACAAATATTATATTTACAAATTATCGTTTCCATCAAATCATTATTGAGTTATAAAACTAATCGTCAAGCAATATAATTTGCTACAATAACTCAAATATATGTCTGGAAGTATATATCTTATGTTGACAAAAATATCGACTTGTCAAACTAGACTAATTGCTAATCACTAGCTTCCAAAGTAGATTGCTAACAACAACAATGTTAAGTATAAGCTAATTTGATGGGTACTTAAGTTAGTTATCGATGGTTAAGGTAGTTACTCCCTAACCATCACCTTGAAAAGGTACTGATACGACTCGCCGATTTGGTTGAGTTATCGGCTAATTAGTAATTATCTTTTTATCATTTATTTAGTTCCATCTTTATTTAAATTAATAGTTATCTTTTATTAGTAGTTATCCTTTTATTTTGTAGTAGGATTAGTTGTTGAACACTATTTATTGGACTTTAGGATCGGTTCATTGATTATGGAATAAACTTTTTGAGTCTTAGACTTTTGGCGACCCCTATTTCTCGTTTAATTTTCTATAGGTCAGTAAAATTACTTGTCAGTTGAATTATAGTGTCACATTTTTTCCTGATTATTGTGTTTTTCAAGATCCTTCAACAAAGCAAATAAATAGTAGAGCACGAGAATCTAGTGGACGTTATGTATTTGAACTCGAGGTACCGAAATCCCTAGTAGGACTGATGTCGTTATCTCCATTTGCATCACATTGTCTTTTAGGTCACCCACCTCTTCAAAGTTAGAAAGAAATTATATCCCCAATTTAGACATCTGTCATCCCTAAATTGTGAGTCATTTCAGTTTGTTAAGTATCAATGTGTTTAGTTGAGCCCTAGAGTTAATAAATGAGTTGCATCCCTATTTGAACTGTTTCACTTTGATGTACGGTGTCCTTGTCCTTTTACTTTTAAAACCGGGTTCAAGTATTTTGTGACTTTTGTGGATGATTATTCTCGTGTTAATTAGCTATATCTATGAAAATCACTCTAAGGTAGTCACCCATTTTAGTTAATTTGTTGCTGAGATTAAAACACAATTTATTATGTTTGGAAACTTTGCATAGTGATAGTGTAAAAGAATATACGTATGAAACCTTTCGGTCTTACATGCTTCAATAAGGTATTCTTCATGAATCTTTTAGTGTTGATACACCTGCCCAAAAATGGAGTCGCAGAACGAAAAAATTACCACATTCATAAACTAGCTGGAACACTATTATTTCAAATGCGTGATCCAAAATGATAGACCATGGTCCATTCTTGAATAAAAACTGATAATCTGTGAACTGATACGATAGATTATGGTTTTCCCATTCATTCGAGCGGAACAGGCTCTCCAAGAAGAACAAAGTTCATTATACAAATTAATTCTTAGCTACTAAACAAAAATCTCAAGAGGGAAATAAATAAAAGACATGACTCAGGGTAGGGATGAACGTTTGTATCGAAAACCCGAACCGAAACCGAAATCGAAATCCGAACCGACCCGAACCAAATTAGGACCGAATAAGTCATACGGGTCGGTTCTCGGGTATGTATTTTAGGCTTATTCGGTTATCAGATTGTTTGGTCCGAGTTACCTGAATAACAGTTTAATCGGGCCAAAAGGACTGACCCGGAAATCGAATAGTCACTTAATTGATCACCTCTTGGGTTACCCAAATTTCTACCGTGGCGTCCGAGGCGATGTTTAGTACAAGTGGGCGGATATTAGATCCATATCGAACAAATTTGTCCGCAAATATACTAGAGCTTTGGTTTACACCCAAGATTAGGTACGAAAATCAAGAAAGTCAATTGTGGACAACATTGATGAAGTTTTGAAAGATGATGACGTCGCGAAAGAGTTGGAAAAACACTATAAACAATGGAGATGGAAAGGGAAAACAACCGATCAATATTCCCGAATAGTTAATTTGTATTTGGTCTTTGTTATTTTGGAAAAAACTTAATATTCATATTTTAATTTAGATGTTCAATGTTTAATGTTTAATGTTTAAAGATGAATTATCAATGTTTAATATTTTTTTTCCTTAAACTAGATATAGTATTTCCTTATTTGGGTTATTCGGGTCATTTCGGTTTATTTGGGTTATTCGGATCATTTCTGTTCAAAAGCATAGTGTACATGTTATTTCTGTTATTTCGGTCCTTTCGAGTTAATAACTGAACCAAAACTTGTATTACCGGAACCGAACCAGTCCCGTATTAGTATAATCGGCCCGGGTTTAAATTCCAACTTTGCATCCAATTCAGGTTTCGGGTTATTCGGGTCTGGTCGGGTCGGTTCTGTCCCGTCGTGAAGCACATCCCTACTCAAGGGTGTGTTCCCATAAAACAGACCTGGGACAAAGTTAGTGCTCCCAACATAACAAAAGAGTCAAAAACATCCATAATACCTAAAAAGACCAATCTACCCCATGTAGCCAAAAAGATAACAGAAGCTGCATTACACTTTGGGCCATTCTTGGACTTCCTAGACTCCCATGATGCAGACTAGAAATGATTAGGGCTTATCACAAAAACACTTTGTGTTTATGTCGTCTCTACTGCCTGTTTTCTCATCAATTGTATGTCGTCTATAATTGTTGGTGGCGATATTCCATATTTTGTGTTGTTTCCTAATAAATATTTGCTCTCTGTTGAACGTAAGATATTTGGTTCAAGTTGTTTTGTTTTGGATTCTCGACCTTATATCATCAAACTAGATCCTAAGGGAGCGTTTGGATTGTTAGATTCTTATTTCGATATTTTGAATGTGCCAAAAAATTCAGACTCAGATGGATTAAAATTATATTGTGTGTTTGGTTCCTAAAATTTTGAAGTAAATTAAAATCCATTCCTTTTACAATCTTACTTGATAAATCTTCATAAATGGTCCCATTGGTTTCCTAGAATATCAAGTTTAGTCTCTAACTTTTTTTTCGGTCTCGTTAAAGGTCCAAGTGGTTTAATTTTTGCATAGATGGTCCCTATGGTTTCGTTTTATTACAAATTTAATCTAAAATTACTATTTTACCCCCAAATAAATATTTTATTAGTTTTTGTTTTCTATATTTTAATTTTAATCAATTAAAATAACCCATTTTAATTGAAACTCCCACCCCCTTTTTCCACAACCCCCACCCCTATCGGCTTTATCTTCCCATCGACTTCATCTTTCCCTTCTCACCCTTCTATCGATCGACGTTAGTGATGAGATTTAAAACCGAAAAACCAGACCGGAACCGGTATATGTAGAACCAGTCCGGGTTCCAGGTTTAAAGAATGTCTTTATTCGGGTTTCGGGTCCTTCGGGTCCGGGTAAACCGGATTTATAAACTGCAACCGGTGTTAAGAACCGAAACCAGCTTTAGGGGCCAAAACCGGTTTCTGTGAAAAGTTTAAAACATGCATATCTCATTCGTTTGGAATCGAATTGGTATAAGGTCTTTTTCAAAGTGTAATTTATAGTTTGTACATGATTTTAGACTATAATTTTATCATTTTTGGTTTCAAATTCATTGACTTACAGTCTCTTAAAGTCAGGATATCTAATTCGTTTGAAGTCTGATTATCATGAGGTTTTTTCCAACATATAGTTTAGAGTTTGTACATGATTTTAAACTATAATTTTGTCATTTTTGGTTTGATATTCAATGACTTACCATTCCCCAAACTCGAGATATCAAAGCTGAAAGTTTTCGAAGTTCAACCCACTAAGGGCGTGTTTGGCATAAGTAGCTGTTAACTGGTAGCGGGTAGCTGATAGCTGGTAGCGGGAAGCTGTAGCTTTTATTTGTTATATGAGTGTTTGACAAAAGTAGCTGGAAACTTTTGAAATATATAAAATTACATACAAGGATAATTGATTAAAACTAAAAAAATATATAAATATATTTTTAAGGATAATTATGGAAATTGATTTCAAAAGCTTAGTAGCTTTTTCTTAAACGCTACATGAAGTAGTTTTTAGAATTGAAGTGTTTTGTTTAAACTAAAAGCTAAACGCTCGTACTGCCAAACGAAGGTTTCTGTTTAAACTAGAGCGTTTTGTCAAAAGCTAAAAGTTAGAAACTCCCAAATGCTTTCAAAAGCTCCGTGCCAAACAAGCCCTAAATAGTTACAAAAAAAAAAAAAAAAAAAAAAAAAAAACTGGTTTTCCCTAGGTTTTCCTGTTTTTCGGTTCTAGACCCACTTTAACTGGTTCCACTCGACCCACTTTTATGTTTCCGGGTTTTCCGGTTCTAGACCCACTTTACCCGGAACTGGTTCCTATATACCGGTCAGGTTTCCGGTCCTACAAAATCTTGTTAACCATTTTCCGGGTTCGGGTCTATCCGGGCCGGGTTTGGACCTCCTATCATCCCTAGCCGACGTCCCACCCACTTCCTTGCCTTTTTGCCAAAAAATGCCCACCAAAAATGTTTTTGTTGCGATTTTAGTCCATCGTTTGTTGCGATTTTGGTTCTCCAGGATTTGACTAGGGTTGAGACAATTATGGTTAAGATCGAGAAGAAAATCCCTGTTTTGATATGTTAGAGGATTGCGATCTGATGGGGTGGTTGGTAAGGTGTTTTGGCGGTGGTGGTTGATTGCTAATGGCCAATTCTTAGGTGTGTGTGGAAAGTCATGAGACGATGATGGGGTCAACAAAAAGGAATATGAGTAAGGAAATGAAGTCGATTCCAATGATGGGTCAAAATCGGATTCTTAGAGTTGTCTATAATCACAACCAAAAAACATACATAAGGAGCAATAGAGATATTACACAACCAAAAAACACACATAAGGAGCAAGAAATATAATATGGGGCATGGGTTTTTACAGGTGCTCACGGTATGGTGGGTGGTGGAATTATAGGTGGTTGGCAAGGGTTGTTGCTGGAAGATTTTGGGTGGCTACGATCTGTGGTGGTAGGCGGTGGAAGAGTATGAAAAAATGGAGGGGTCGATGTTTGAGAGAAAAGGAGGAGATATAAGGTTAG